CCCTTGAGCCCTCGCTGCAGACCGGCTGTGTCACCAAGGCCAAGTTTCTTTAATCTCTCTGAGCTGCAGCTTCCTCTTGCGTAAACCAGGAATAATGGGAATAAACGCTAATAGTTGCTGCACAGGGCCGCTGTGCGGGTTAATGAGACAAACATATAATGAAAGGCCCGACAGAAACGGTCTTGCGTAAATATTTTCCACGTGCCTCTCCTCCCTTAAAGCTTTCTCTGCCTAATCTCAGTTATACGGTTTCCGTTATAGCCACCTCACCTGATGGTCTTAAAATACCTTCCAGATCTCCAGCAATGTCAACATGCAAGGGTTTTCTGGGACTAGGAACATGTAAGACAGGCTGAGGGGACGTCAGGAGGTCAAAAGCAACACTGAGTTAGCATTGTGTCGCTATTCTAAGAGCCCTTGTATAAGGCAGCCCCGGCCTCTTTCCCTCTAGTTCCTGAGTCTAACTGGGTTTGATTTCGCCCTGGAATTCAACCCTTCACAATCAGGGATCACTCAGTCCCCCACCCCCATTCTCCACTCAGTAACACAGACCATGCCCTGCAGTCAGAAAGGAGAATTAGAATTCCTTCTCCCCACACCTCACCCACCCCATTCGTACCACCCAGTCTTCCCTAGCTCCTTATTTCTAAAATCTTGTCTTCTTTTTTTCACCATGTATCAAAATATTACCGATCTTTTAAGGTCTAGCTCAAAGCCTGCTTTTTCCCCCCAATGACCTTGGTCAACAGTGGCCTTTTTCTCCTTCCTCATCCCATTGCTGTCCATTGGTTCCCAGATAATCGACTGTGTTTGAGCATGAAATGGCATCCTTGAGTCTTTTTCTGCATGTGTAAATCCTGCTCCACGTTAAGACGATAAACTTGAAGGAAAGGACTAAGTCTCAAACATATGCTCTATCTGCACTGACGCCCTCACTCACTGATTGAGCCTGAGTCCCAGGGGTCCTCATAAGGACTCCCGGTCAGAGGACCTCACAGGGCTGCCAGGAGGCTCAGGTGAGGCTCTCCAAACGCAGGTAAAAGAACGCTGTCCATGGTATGGCAGGAGACACTGCGAGACTATTGGGGAAGCTCACGCTCCGAAACGGCCTGATGAGCGAGGTGGATGTGCCGTGTGTGCCACCCCCAAGCACCATCTCAGCCGCTCTGAAGGCGGCAGGTCTGGAGGGGCAGCTGCCAGCTCCGGGCGAGGCCTGGAGAAAGATCTAGGAGGAAACCACTTCTCCAGGCTTCCCCAGCAGACTGAAGAGCTCCTGCCTGGCCAAGGGTGGGAGGGGACCCTGAAGGAGCAGAGACCAGGGCTTCTGGCTGCACGGACCCAGCTCCTGACGATCAGCGCCGGGAGGGAGGAGCAGAAAGGCCCCGGGGCCACGCAGACCCGCGCTCAGCTGGCACGGCGACGCCTGGCATCCCAGAGATGAACGCCCTGGGGAGGGCCAGGCGGCCTGGAAGAACTGCAGAGTGCTTCACCCCCGCAAGGAAAGCAAAGTGAAAGGAGACACTGCCTTGATGAGGCAGCCGCCAAAGGGTTAATCCCAGAGTCACACGAGACCCCCCCCACCTGTCCAAGGGTCCCCTCCCTCCGCAAACTGCGACATCTGCTGGGAATCAATATGCCTTCCCTGCTGCAGGTAATTAGGTCGGCTTAGAGGATTTCCCAGGGCAGGAGGGTGGGGAGAGGCGATCCAACCGGCTCCACTGTCTCAGGACGAGCTCCCAGGTGCCAGCTCCCTTCCCTGCAAGACAGGGACTCGCCTGCTGAGCTAGGTGTCAGCCAAAAGTGAAGGGGCCTGGCGTGGCGAAGATGGACATAGGTGAGGCTACCTCCACGCAGCCCCCCATCACACACGCCCTCGATGAGCCCCCCGCCCGCCGAGGAACAGAGCAGACGAGAGACAGCACTAACTGGCCAAGGACATCAGCTCCTGCTGAGGGTCTAGGAAGAGCGCAGACGGAAGAGGCCGGTGGCTGGGAGTGGGGACGGGCAGCCCAGTGCAGGCAGCGAACGGTCCGGCTGTGAGATCACGCTGACGGCTACGTCTGGGCTCTCGGGACAGGCAGGAGGCTGGCTCGGAGCCCCTCAGAAGGGAGAACAGAAAAGCAGCCAAGCAGAAACCCGCACAATCGGTTCTCCTGTGGCCCATCTCTCTCCCACCCCTCTCGCACCCCATGGTGGGCTCCTCCTTGCCAGGAGAGATGGGGAGCCTGCGCCTTGCTGGCCCCGACAGGCAGAGTAGCAGGCGGAAACAGGGTATTCCGAGAAGCCCAGCTGAGAATCCCATTCGCACCTGTCACCATGGGGACTCCCTTCTCACTCTCCGCAGCAGAGCCTTCTCTCAGCCAGTCAGGGAGACAGAGGGGGGATGGCGGGGGTGGGGGGGCTGGCATGAGTTTGGCATGTTACCAAGAGGTATCAGCCATGTGAACAGCTGTGTACAGCACACACACACACACACACGCACACAGCAAAGATCTCCCCCCAGATAGGAACAGAACACAAAGGAGTGGCTTAAAGTTATAAACTTGTGCTTCAGTGGCTTCATCCTAACCACATCACACAATACCGTGGGAGCCTGGTACCGAGCCCCAGGTATAAAGAGATGCAGAAAGCAAGCTCCAGGCTGGGGCTCCTAGAGACCAGTCACGTGCAGACGGGGCATATGAGAGAGAGACACACACACACAGGAAATAACCAAAGTTGAAGGGGATTAACGTGTAAAACTACAAGCTAATGTGATTATGCAGAACTAAAAGCAATCCTCAATTATCTGCAGCAAATGTTCAGGCCCGGGACAGCTTATTTCTGAGCCCGAGCACATTCTAGGCTAGCCACTTCTATAGTAATATGGACTCCAAGTACATTAAAGCATTTTTTTTTCGGCCTCAAGTAAAGGAAGGATAATCTATGTTAAAAAAAAAAAAAAAAAAAAGACATCCAGTAGATCATTCCTAAACCAAATGTGGGTTGTAGATTATCTGGGGTTTGGGCTTTCTGTGGCATTGCTTCCCATCTGTCAGCGTGGTCGTGAAAGTATCGGGCTGGGAGGTGGTGGCATGGAGACACGGTGTCTACTGACAGGGCAGCAGATGCCGTGGGCTAGGTAAGGCCCCAGACACGTCCTGGCCCCCAGAGCAGGCCATCGGCCCTGTCCCCCAGAACATGCACCTAAAATGCTGATACCAGTAAAGACACACCAGCCCACTCTCCCGGGCGAGGCATGCCCAGGGGGCTGGAAATGCCCCGTGGAGCCACAGCAGGGCTCCCTGGAGTCCCAGGACCGGGCCCCTGAGCTCATCCATCCATGGACTGACCTTTGCCGAAGATGACTTTTAGCTGGTGGGAGAGAAGGGGACGGAGTAATGTCCACTTAGCCACACACACTTCTGAGCTCCACTGGCAGGTTCCAGCCACGGAGCCCAAGAGATCAGGCCACTGTCCCAGGCCTGGGGTCAACAGGCCTCTGCTTAAACCTCCCCCCGGGGTGCAGAGATAACTCCTCGCAAGGCCTGTCCCTCCACTTTCTATTTAGGGGCAGCTCTAATAGGATCAGATGATCTCTAATGTCCCTGCCAATTCTGTGATCCAGTGATTCTAACAGGTAGAAAGTATTGGGTAAACCAGACAGAAATCTGCTCTCCGATTTGAATTCTGACATCTGGACTCTCAAAGAGCACGTCTAATCCCATCTCCAACAACTATCCAGGGGGGAGGGGAACAGGCTGCATCCCCCACCCCCAGCCAAGCTGCCACCCTCTCCTGTCCGTTACAGTTTTTGGACCCTGTACCATCTTAGACTCCCAGAGCATCAGAGCCAGAAGGGATCCTGGCTTTTGTTCGCTCTAATGCTTCCCATCTTTTTATCTTGTGATCACACCAAGGAAATACTAAAACATTTGGTTAATTAATGTTGGTTATTTTCAAGTTTTAAAATATGTTATTTTAGATGAGCTTATTAAAATTTTTTATAGAGTGTAGTTTTAGCACAGTAGTTAATAATGACTATTACACGTATAAAGGCAAGTTTCAACATTTTCCCCCATTTAGCAGTGGCACCTACTATTCAATTTATTTCAGATTAACTAGATAAGAGAAAGCATGATTTGATAACACATTTCTAGATGTCACATCATGTCAGGCTCGGGGATCAAATTACACGATAATAAATTCATCAAATGTTAAGGTGTAAAAATAGTCGAAAGCTGCTCTCACATCCTGGAATTGGAAATTCGTATACTTGGCTCTTTTTAAGTTTTAAATTTTGTTTCTAAAAGCAGCGTTAAGACTGATTCACATGCACGTCTCTGTTATAGATGTGGAGAGCGTTCATTCCCAGTAAATGAAAATCCACGTTAGATATAATCATCACTTTTTTTTTTTTAAGTACTAGGAACATCTTGATGCGTCCTATAAAAATTCTGGTCAAATGAATCCAATCTGGTAGCCATCACCTTCAGGGAAATTTCTAGAATTATTATTGTGCTTCTCATCAACTCTATGAAGTTCCATATGTTTCCTGTCTCCACTAATGGCTCATTGTGGATAAAATAAACAATAGACTAAGAAGAAAAGCAAATTAAAGTTATGAGGGCAAAGCCACCACCGCAGTTGGCGGCGTTTAGCAGATAATATGCCACCAAAGAGACGGAAGCATGAGATGTATCTCATCTCCTCACACCTAGCATATCAGGAGAGCCCAGTCTGCTTCATACAAAGGGGGAAAACACGAAAAAGGTACTAAGCGATTGATTAACAACAGAAATGAAGACAGATGCCTTCACACGCCATCTGGGAATGCCCAGAGTTGCAGAATCACAGGCTGGGACAGGAGTCCTGTTCGCCACTCATCTCATCGCCTCACTGGATTTTCTAACGAAGAAACTGAGGCCCAGAGAGGAGAAGGACTTGCCCGAGGTCACCTGGTAAAAGTCGGAGCAGAGCAAGGATTAGTATCCAGTCTCCCGACTCTTGAGTCCTCTTACCGGGTGGCCCTTGGGGACAGGATGGCTCCGAAGGCAACATCAAGGGATCCGGAAAGCAGAGATGGGAAAGAGTGGTCACAGAATTCTGACTGTGTCCTGTTTGCCCTGGTGCCTCTCAGAGCACCAGGCACAGCTCGTGTCCGAGGGACTTAGTTGGTAAATGATTGTTGGATAAGTAAACAGGTGAACGGCCAGGCATCATAAAAGAGAGGGATGTGGGGAAACAACAATAGCTAACTCTCACGGAGCACTTATCCATATTTGCCAGGCACTCTGCAAAGGGGTTCGTGGGCATTATCTATTTTAATCCTAACGACCCAGTGCAGGGTAAGCACTACTTAGCTCCCAGTTTACAGATGAAAATTAGAGAAGGTTTAAGTCATTTGCCAAAGATCACACAACTAGTGAACAGAGGGCCAAGCTGAACCCAGGCAGGCTGGTTCCAAGACCCTGCTGGCTCTCCCACTATCTTCAATTTCCAAGGCCAGACACGTGCCCTTGGGCATTTCACAATGTGAACTCAGAAGAACAAACTCGGGAAGGGGAGAAAGTAGAAAAATGAAAGTGACACAGTCTGAGCAGCACACACAGAATGGAGTATAAGTTAAACTGCGGAAATCAGAATGAGATCGGTGGACTCTATCAATGTCAACATCCTGGTTGTGAGAGTCCTGTGTCCTATATACAGTTTTGCAAGGTGTTACCACTGGGGAAAACTGCATAAAGACACACAGGATCTCTCTGTATTTTTTATTACAAGTAGCTGTGAATTAACTATCTCAATACATTTTCTTTTACACTCTAGAGCAGGTGTCCTCAAACTACGGCCCAAGGGCCACATGCAGGTATTTTTGCCCATTTGGTTTTTTTACTTCGAAATAAGATATGTGCAGTGTGCATAGGAATTTGTTCACAGCTTTTTTTAAACTATAGTCTGGCCCTCCAACGGTCTGAGAGAGAGTGAACTGGCCCCCTGTTTAAAAAGTTTGAGGATCCCTGCTCTAGGGGGTCCCTTTTAAAAAAAAAATACCTATCACACCATGAACGCACAGGGAACAGGTTCAGCAGCCCGGGATGCTTTCCACTGGTTGCCACAAAGTGTGCTTTTCTGGGGGGAGCAGGCTGGCGTTTCAGTTGAACCCCGGTACCTTTCTCTTTGGCTTCCTTCTTTTTTCTGATCCTTTTCCTTCACACAATTCAAGGAAGCCGTCTCAGTTCTTGGAGTAATTAATATACTCAGTATGCACATGAATTCTCTTGGCAAGAGTCTTGTCCTTCACACATTTGTTTACAACAACGCCAACAGCATGCCGGGTAACACCGCAGACTCCCAGTTTTGCCATGGCAACATTCGCGGCGCGTTCCTTTTTGAACCGCACGCACTCCCTAGATGGCTACGACATCACCTTTCCTGTAGATTTGCACATATGTGACCAAAGGAACAACGAACACCACGTTTTCTAAAAGGCCTAGAGACTATATCGGCTGAAGACGGCCTTCCCTTTGTGTTCGTTATTTGGTGCATTACCGGAAGATGGAGATTCCAGCTAAAAGGAGGCAAGTTAAATTTTTCTATTTAAAAAAAAAAAAACACCAGTCCGGGCAAGCAGGACATCTTTAGCCCCACTGAGCAGTCCTTGGCCTATTTCGGTCCGTCCCAGCACCCCCGCATCTGGGCAGACCCCGGACGACGTCGCCGGCCCGCTGAGAAACAAAGCGCTCTTGCTCTCAGAAGCCCCAGCTGCGACTTTTGATGACGCCATCTGAAAGCTCCCTCTTTATGTTTCAAGGTTTCAGGAACACAGAAGAACTGTGGGGTATGTTCAGAGAGGATCTTACCAGTCTGACTCAGAAGGGAGCCAGCACCTGGCCCAGCCCTGACCCACCCCACACCAGCCTTCCAGACCTTTCCAGCGGGGCCCGGGCATACAGCATTCACAGCTGTTTGCCCCTCTCCTGTAGACCTCAACGTCCCCCACACTGAGGCCAATGGCAGACACCTCCCGTCCCACCCGGGGCCCCAGCTGCCAGGGTAGCGTGACAACACGCTGACGGCCCCACTGCTATTCCAAGAGCAGAGCCAGCCTGCTCCAAGCCAGCCACAGTCTTTGACCCCTCACAGCCGACAGTTCATCCACAAGAGGGGTGGGTAGAGCCACCAGTGCAGGTGCTGGTTGTGGCACCGAGTGGCAGAGCCCTTGGCATCCTGTTGTTACCAGCTGAACTAACCACCCGGTGAACTGAGAACTACTGGGGGGGCAGGTACTAGCAATATGACATAAGGCATTCTCTGCCCCCTGAGTGACTTGTAGTCTCTTGGCATAAGGAAGGCATAACCAGGTGAAAAGCACAGTGGAGGGAAGAGAAAAACCACCCAGAGAACCAGTGGTTTCCAGCCGAGGCTGTATATTAGAATTACCCAGAAGGCCTTTATGACATATGGGTGCCTAGACTCAGTCTTCAGAAACTGCAATTTAGTAGGTGCAGGTTGGGTCCCAGGCATCTCCCCAGGTGATGTCACCATGTCGGCAGGTGTGAGAACACAGGTGTAGGGCCCTGTCCATCAAATGTAGCTTGCAGACCAGCAGTATTGGCATTATCTGGGAGCTTGTTAGAAATGCGGAATTTCAGACCCGATCCAGGCCTTCTGAAGGTGCATTTCAGCAGGAGCCCAGGTGATCCTTTTGCACGTGGAGGACTGGGAAGCACCACGTGGGGGGTGGTGCAAGGCAGACTCCTCGCAAAGGAGGAGTCCACCAAAAAGTCCCTCCCCAGCCCGGGCTGGGAGACGCAGCCCACCTGCTGCCCGCTGGGCGGAGAACACCCCCGGAGAGCAGGGTGGAGGGGCTGGGTGACTGTGGGGAGCCACGTCACCAAGCCCTGCTTCTCTTCCCTCCTCCAGAGCTGCATCTGGGCCTGCCTCATGGATCAGAGCTCCTGGAGTCCCTACAAACCCCTTCTGTGACTAGGAGGGAGGCTGAGAGAAGGCTCTGTCACCATTTAAGGGACAAGAAGAAAAAGGAGTTTCTTCCCCTTCCACACAGTCCTCCCCCCTCCCCGACTGTCCTGCCCCCTCCTCGAGGGGGCTCATCACCACTGTGCTCAGGACAGCCCCAGTGACAGAGTGCACTGCCTGGCCAGCCATAAAGACAGCACTGTCCCCGCAGGCAAGGAGGTGGCTGGTACCAGCCAAGCCTCATGCAGGAGGGAATCCTCGAGAGAAGGCTGGACAGAGACACACACGTAATCTCGTCCTCCCCCCCTGCACCACCACCCCCAGCTCTGATTCCCTGACACTGCTTCTGTCTTTGTCTCTGTCAGTTGTGTGTCATTTTTCACACGTGCCTGCTTTTGCTCTCCCACTAGACCGGGAGCGGCCATCCTCGGCTCCTCCTTTGTCACTGCCCACAGTACCGAGCACAGAGACATACGCCCCGCAGGGGCTCAATAAATGTTATTTGTGTTCACACGCTCACATTTTCCAGGGGTCAAACCCAATGCTCCAAGCTAACAAAGAGCTACTCACAAGCAGACATTTGTTAGGGATCACTGTCAGCCCACTGAGATTCTACGGAAGAAAACAATTAGGCACACCTTCAAAAAGCATGCACTCTGGTTTAGGAAATCAGACTTACACAGGACCAGAGGACTCAAGGAAATCAAGCATGTTTAAGGCAAAGTGAGGCAGGCCTATGGGCACCGGCATGTGCCAACACCATGAAAATTTTCTGCTCCACTATTTGACAGATTACTATTATTTGCTTGGCATTATTAAGCATTTCCCCCACTTTGGTACTTGTACCACTTTACCCACACCCTGATCAGGCCATGTCCATTATACTGGGTAAACAGGATGAGAGTGACGATACACCGGGTTAGGATGGGAGGTGGGTAAAGACCAAGAACCCCCCCAGGCCGGGCGCGGTGGCTCACACCTGTAATCCTAGCACTCTGGGAGGCCAAGGTGGGAGGATTGCTCAAGGTCAGGAGTTTGAAACCAGCCTGAGCAAGAGCGAGACCCCGTCTCTACTATAAATAGGAAAAAAATTGGCCAACTAATATATATAGAAAAAATTAGCGAGGCATGGTGGTGCATGCCTGTAGTCCCAGCTACTTGGGAGACTGAGGTAGGAGGATCACTTGAGCCCAGGAGTTTGAGGTTGCTGTGAGCTAGGCTGATGCCACAGTACTCACTATAGCCTGAGAAACAAAGCAAGACTCTGTCTCAAAAAAAAAAAAAACAACCCTCTGTACTGGACGCCTGCAAACACGTGACACAACAGCACAGCGTCTGGACTCTGCCTCACCCCACAGGCTGGTTTCCACGGCCATAAACCCTGCATAGCTTGCCCATTCCAGGCTCCATAAAGCCTTGGATCAGTTTCCTGAGACCCCAGCCAGAATCCAAGGAGCATTCTCTCTGTCCTGATTGGAGAACTGCAGGGCGTCATGCATGGTTGTTCTCACTGTGAAAAAGAGAAATTTGGGGCCAGACTCAGCCAGATATAGACTTTGGTTCAGATTCAGCATGGAGCTTTCTCCAGCAACTTGTCAAACTTACCCACATTCAAAAGTTCCCTTTAAGTCAAAAGGACTTAGGTATGAAGGACCAATAAGCAAGGGTAAGCGGCAAAGGTCAAGGATTCTGACTTGGGGAGCAGTTCAGTCTAACAGTAATCACTGTGTTAAGTAGCCACATGTGGCTATTTACATTTAGATTTAATTGAATTCAAAATTCAGTTCTTCAGTCACATTAGCCAAATTTCAAGTGCCGGTTATGCACAGAGCTACCATGTTAGATAATGCAGATATAGAACATTTTCATAATCAAAGAAAGTTCGATTAGACAGCACTAATATTGAGCATTTAGATGTTTCATTTGGGGGCTGGGCGTGGTAGCTCACACCTGTAATCCTAGCACTCTGGGAGGCCAAGGTGGGAGGATCGCTCAAGGTCAGGAGTTCGAGACCAGCCTGAGCAAGAGCGAGACCCCATCTCTACTATAAATAGAAAGAAATTACTTGGCAAACTAAAAATATATATAGAAAAACTTATCAGGGCATGGTGGTGCATGCCTGTAGTCCCAGCTACTTGTGAGGCTGAGGCAGGAGGATTGCTTGAGCCCAGAAGTTTGAGGTTGCTGTGAGCTAGACTGACGCCACGGCACTCTAGCCCAGGCAACAGAGTGAGACTCTGTCAAAAAGAAAGAAAGAAAAGAAAGAAAGAAAAGAAAGAAAGAAAAGAAAGAAAGAAAAGAAAGAAAGAAAAGAAAGAAAGAAAAGAAAGAAAGAAAAGAAAGAAGAAAAAGAAAAGAAAGAAAGAAAAGAAAGAAAGAAAAGAAAGAAAAGAAAAGAAAGAAAAGAAACAGATGTTTCATTTGAAGAAATGAGAAGGCTCTTCTGAAAAGTTCTGCAGCTCTTTCCCGGTTTGCTGGAGAGGTTCTGGGTGCTCTGCGGAGTGCTGAGCAGAGGGAGTGCATCTTCCCAGTGAAAGAGGCAGCGTGCTGAGGCTCTCATGTAAACACAAGAGGCTAAGGCACAACTTGCAGGGTCATCTTACCATACATCTGTGTACGCACTCGGTCTCTCCTTCTTAATAGGACCACAATTTCGCTTTCATCACGAGGACTGTGAAGTCAGATGCTAGAACCAGTTTACTGCCAGAAAGCCCACATGCTGCCTAGTCCTGGCCAGAATCATCCTCCAGATCCCTTTCGATGGTTGGTTCTAAGCTTTCCCCACCTTTACTTTTCTAACCTGGGGAGAAAAACCTCTCAGAGCACAGGTCAGCACTCTGGACAGCGACAAGCTCCCTCAGAGCG